GAGGGAAGGTTTAAGTTGGACATCAGGAGGCGCTACTTCACGGTCAGGGCGGCTAGGGTCTGGAACCAGCTTCCAAGTGAGGTGGTGCAGGCTCCCACCCTGGGGGTTTTTAAGAGGAGGTTGGATGACCACCTTACTGGGGTCGTTTGACCCCAGTGCTCTTCCTGCCATGGCAGGGGGTCGGACTAGATGATCTGCTCAGGTCCCTTCCGACCCTAGAAACTATGAAACTATAAATAGCAGTGACCTCAACTCGCTGTGTCTTGCAGCCAAGGCACTGCACTGAGAAGTTAAAATCATTGGTTCTACTAGACTTCCTGTGAAATCTCTAACAAGTGACTCACTATGGACAGGCCTTACATTTGTGCCAAGAGAACACCTTTCCCCTGGAACAGAGCTATCCTGGAGGTACTCACTCAATGGGTTTTACTTAGGGGAAAAAATAATGACTCATCCACAAAACACATGGGAACTCTTCTGACCAGGAAGTTTTCCTGAGAAGCTTTCTAACATCAGCTTGAACACCTAGCTGTAAGCTTTTTTCAGGGTGTAGAGTACTCCTACCATAATCCCAGTCTTCTGGTCTCTCTCTCCCCTGCCTCCTCCCCAAGGAGGGAGGGAAAGCATTGGCCTCCAACAGCTTGCCCAGTGGCAACCTGTCAGAGAGCCCTGGGGGGACCCTGCTGAAGCTGTCTGAATGGTGCCCACGCTGTTCAAATGATGGTGCTGATTCCCACCCCACAAACCATTGCCCCCTGCCAGGGTGGATTTGATTTAAATCAAGTTGACTTAAATCATGATTTAAATCTTGATTTAAATCACTGGTCAGGAAGTCTCTATGTAATCACTGTTTGCTACAAAAAGTGCATTCTTGTTGTTTGATATCCTTTATTCATTTAACATCTTGAAACTTTGCACTTTTAGAGAGAGGTAAGGGCTTGACTGTGAGCACAAACTTGCAGAGAGACAAGAGAGCGGATGGGTAGGTAATCATGTCTGTTCTCTCTCATCTCCATATACTGATGTTAACAAGGGTGTTATCTCTGGAGACAAATCCAGTTTGAGAACTGAAACTAAGCATCACAGAGACGTTTAATGGGATCTTCTAGACTGAGCACTGAGTCCCACTGGGTTAAGTGGTTTTCTTTAATCTTTAAGAAACTATATAGGAGCTCTGAGAACCTCATAAGATTGGGCCCCTAATATAGTCCATGGTCTGTTGTAACCTATTTATAAAACTTAAAAAAAAATATATATTACATGAAAATATGGTCTCAAATAATATACAATTATAAATTATAATACCTATTCCATGATGATATCTTGAGCTTTAACCTATCTTAAATTAAAGCTATCTTTATATAAAGTTTATTTTTTTCAAAAAACGCACCTTAACAAAAAAAAAATAATTAAAAATCGGATTTAAATAAAAAAAAAAATCTGTTGCTTGGTTTTGTTTTTTTAATTGTTGATTTTTATCCTCCCTGCCCAGACCAGGGCAGACCAAACCTCAGGGAAGTACACCCCCATCCCTTGCACAGACAAGCCTGTGCAAGGAGCGGGGGGCATGAAGGATGGGGAGAACTGCTTTCCTCACCCTTTTTACCCCTATAAGGTGTGGAGCTGTCTTTAGGAGCTGCTGCTTTTCAACAGGGGCCTGCTACTTATTGACAGCCTGCCCCTTTCCCTAGCAGGGGAGAGGACAAACCGTCAACCATGGCTCCTCCAGGGGTAGGGGAGAAAACCAGAATCAGCCTTCTAGTGCCCCTAGTTGGAGAGCTCACATTTAGAGCATCTGCACAGCTTTCCATGGAGGAGGCTGGAACACATGTATCATTAGTTTGTCCTGCTAATGGAAAATCCATGGGACCCTGAACTCTGGTTAACTGATTGGGTCAAAAGGTGTACCTCCTCTGTTACATGCAAGAGGGAAACTAATAGCCTTTGATACTGGCTAGGTTTATCGGAGGAGGCTGGAACACCCCAACCTATTTTTCCTGCACTAAGAATTTTGCAGAAATTGTTTGTGCCAGATATGAACATCTGTCTATAGCCACTGTCTCCCTCTACCTACCTTCCTCACCCAAAAACACAGATGGCAGTGTGATACTTGATCTCTACATTGCAACAATGCATTTAGCACTGAAAATGCTAGGGAGAGTTCCACAGAAAGGTGTGTTCATAAAGTTTAATGACATTAAGCCATATCTCCCTGGGATCATACATGACCATCAAAATCCTGGGAATTAGCTCTCCAATTCACTAACTCCCTAGGCGTCTCAAGTTTCCTCGGATGCAGACTCAAATCTTCCAGTACAACTCTCCCAGGTTTGTTTTCTTGAGAGAAAAACTGACCTGTACCATTCAAACAGAGAAGCAAAGAGCCTGCAGTGCAGATGCTGAGCTACCAAGGGTCCCTAAAGCGCACAGCCCAGAAGAGCTTTGCAGTATTTGTTTTTATTTAAGTGAATGTAGGCAGTTAGGGAAGATAGGGGCATGGTCTGTGCTGTGCCCTCCAACCTTCCCCTCTTTGTGCACTGTTTCAGCCCAGCTGTGGCTGGACAGAGACTATGGTGGTACCTTCCCAAGTGGTGCAGTGTGATTCAGGCAGGGAACAAGCCCAGAGTAGAACATGTCCCCCAAGTACTTCAGTGCTGGGTCAGCCAAAAGCACTGGGTGGGGGAGATCCTCCAGAAGATATTCTACAGGGAGTTGTTTCACTTGCGTTGTTCCCCATTTATTTTTCTCCCCGAATGGCCACTTTTACTCTGGGAGAAAAATTACAAACTTCTGTATACTTGTGGTTTCTCCTGAGGGATCAGAGATGCTACCTGGAGAAAAGGAACATTGGTCCAAGCCCCTCAGATCAGTAATTCTCAAGCCATAATGCCTACCCTCATTCAGTTTCTCCTGGGACAGCCACTGCTCTCCCAGAAGACACAAGCATACAAATGGTCAGGCTTTGTCTCCAAGAGTAAGAACGGCTGCTCCAGGAGAAAAATGCCCTGGAAACCACGAGGATTAAATCACTCCCAGGAGCATTTCTCCTGAGATAGCGCCCCAGCTTGTCCAGGTATTTGCTCTCAGGAGAGAACAAGGTCCTTCAGGGAGACAAACCTCTTGCAGGCTGGAATCTGCAGCTCTAGAGCCTACAAGAGCAGGCCCCCTCTCATCCCCACACTCCCCTGCAGGGAGCCCCAGGCTGACTGCCCAGTCTGAAGCAACCAATCAGGGCTGCGCTAGGCACTGCTGCCACCCAAGGCCAGGCGGACTGAGGGAGCCTGTCTGTACACGGCCACTCCCCCTGCACCCGCTGGGGGCGGGGCACAGAGCCCCGCTCTTGGGAAGGGCAGCAGCCCCACCCCCCTATAGCGCACGTTCAACCGTCGCCAACGGCCAGCGCGAGGCTCCGCTTTCCGTTGCCTGGGAAACGCCGAATCTCTGGGCCGCAATTGGCTGCCAGGCACCGCGTCACCGCCCGGGCCGCGTCCCCTCCCGTGTTGCCCGGGGAAAGGCAGCCGGGCCGGGCTGGGTCCCTCCCGCTGGGTCCCTCCCCCTTGTAACAGCACGAAGCGGTGCAGCCCAACGCCCGCCCGCGCCAACAGCTTCCCAAGGGCCGCCACACCGGCCAGGGACTGGTACTGCCCGGCCTGCAGTACCTGTCTGATCCGCTGCTTCAGCCTAGAGTCCGCAGAACCTGCCGCACGGCCCCGCATGGCCCTGCTGCACCCGGTCCAGCCGCAGGGCCCTGCGCCAGGGGTAGCTGGCTGCTGCACCGCCTGCAACAGAACCACACACAAGCAGACGGCGGCTAGGCCCCTTCTGCGCAGGCAGCGCTAAGGACACCTAAGCCACCCTGGGCCCTTAAGGCCTGTTGAAAGCGGCCAACTTTAATAACAGCCCTAGTGCAGCGTCCGGGGTGGGGTTTGTATTAGGATTCCTCTCCCTCCCCGGCGCGCTGTTAGGGAGCACAAAGCCCCGCCAGGCAGGCAGGAAGGAAGACTACATTTCCCAGCAGGTTGCGGGGCGCTGTGGGGTTTCCGGGGAGGGGCAGCGGAAGCGGAAGGGGCGCGGACGGCTGCCGGGAAGGGAGAGAAGGATGGAGTCCGTCGTCTTCATCTTCTCGCTCATTGATTGCTGCGCCCTCATCTTCCTCTCCGTCTACTTCGTATCCGCCCGGGGGCCGGGGGGAGCGGGGAGAACAGCTGTTGGGGGCCATCGCCGCCGTCCGAAGTCGCGCTGCGCTGAAGCGCAGTTGTGCGCGTGCACTTTGCCCGAGCCTGCGCAGGGAGTGCCCCGGCCACCTCGCTCGTCCGCCTGAGCTGCCCTCCCTTGCCCCGCTGCTCCACGGCCGAGTGATCCCGGGCGACAGCGGGGCTGGTCTTGCCTTGACACTGGGCACCACTGGCAGCTCCTCCCGGTGGTAGTGGGACTGATGCAGCCGCTGCAGTGGGTGCCCTGCTCCCACCACGGCTCTGCAGAGAGCTCAGTAGTTCAGCGCTGCTGGCAGACAGCAGGTCGCCGGCTTTCAGAGGCCTGGGGAGATCTAGATGGGCCGGGAGTTTCTTCTTCTTTTGAAGTGGGGTGGGTGATTTTTTTTATTTTTTTTATTTTAAAGGGCAGATATTTCTGGGCTCTTTTAAGGGGACAGGAAAGGAGGAGACTGTTATGAAAAAACAAAAGCAGGAAAGCAGGGCTCAGTGGAGCAGCACCGTCCTGGCAGCCCTGGGGCAAGCTTTTAGTATCACCCCCCATCACCCCTTCTTTGTCAAAGATAATGATGATAATAATTTTAGAATTTCCATTTTCGGGCCCCCTTTCTGTCCAGGACCCGGGCAGCCGCCTGGTTCACCCCTGCTGCTGAACATGCCCCTTCCCATCCCCAAACACAAGCATTCCAAGGATTCCCGCCTGCTCGTGTGGAAACATGTTGTGTAGGGAAAAGTACACGGCGATTCTTCTGGATAGCTTGGCACTTTGCGGGGGGTGTCAAACCCTGCGATCAGAGTGTGAACTTCTGAGGATTCAGGAGTGAGGGAGGGGACAGGGCCTGCCATCAAATTGGGGTATGGGGCCCTACCAGGGACATGTTTTGACAGTGGCTCAGGGAGCAACAGCTATGTAAACCCCAGTCTGGCCTACAAGAAGTCCTGGTTGCCAAACATGTTTTATACTCTTGATGTAGAGGAAGGAAGATGTGAAAGTATGGGTGTTTGAGGGGGTTGTTGTTGTTGTTTTCCTTTAATCTTGAAAACTTTGGAAAGTGGGAGAGTCTGTTACAAGCCAGGAGTATGTGGAGCACCTGCTAACCCCCAGAGTGTATTTCAGACGGTCCATACTGTTAGTTCCTGGTTGAACTACGCCTTCATAAGTCTTTTTATGCATACCTCTTTAATCTTTTTTTCTATTGGTTTATGGCATTATTAGGATACAAAAGTTACTGATTTCTCAATCAGCAGAGAACCCAAGATTTCAGATTCTTATAAGCCCTGGAATTATTTCAGAGCATAGGTAGATCACTTAGCATGAGGGTGAGAAGCAAACCCTGCAGCATTTCAGAAGGACAAGAAATTCTTGTTTTGTCCTGCTATAGAAAGATGGGATGGTTCATAAAGATTTTTGCCTTTAATTTTACTTTTGGGGCTTCAGGAATGCTGAGTATTTGTCTTGGCTTGTGCTGGAGACCTGGAGTGTGAACTTTGCGCTTAAAACCTGTGCAACCCAACTTCTTTCTCTTCCAAAGAGGAATGTCCTAACAAAAAATCTTTTATTTAATTACATTCAATTTCTCGCGATGTTTTTCCACTCAGCTGTAGCAGAATGTAGAGCAACCTGATATTGCTGCTAATGCAAAACGCACAGAACTAATATTAAAAAAAAAATCCTCGTCTCCTTTGTTGTAAAGAACAAAAAACATAATCCTTTTCTTCCCTCATGGATTCTCTTTTCAGGTCTGATATTAAAAGTGCCAGGCTCTGGATGTCCATAATCTGTTTTCAGTTCGTTGAATTCAACTTCAGCATATGGTCATGACTCATTGTCAGGAAAAATACTATAAAATAACTTTTGTGCTGATACCAATGTGTTGCCCAACTTTACCCTACATGTAGAAGGAATAAAACAGGACAGTAAATTCTCATTTAACTTTGGTGCAATTCTGACATAATTTCCTAACAGTAGAAAAGGCCTAGAACAGATTGCAGTGATCAAGCCTTATGTTTCCTGTTTTCTTCTATACATTTGCCTAAATACTATATGAGGCTTAAAATAGAGTTTTGAATTATGAGTTGAATTTCTGCATGAAAATATTCCTTATCTTGGACTTCAGATAATTACACTATCGGATTTGGAATGTGACTACATTAATGCTAGATCTTGCTGCTCAAAGCTGAATAAAGTAAAGAGTTTTTTTTCTTTTACACTTAATTTGATAAAACTCAATGGACCTTATGTCCTTCCATCAGAAACAATAGGATGTCTCTCAAGATACTTCACATTTGATGTCCTATATACTTCTGTGTATCTTCTCCCCCTGCCACCCCTTCCCTGTCCCCACCCCCTGCCACCCATGTCACTTTTTTGATCAATTGCTGGCTTACCATCATAAGGCATTCCTCCTCTCAGAAGCACTTGCAGCAGACTGAATGGTGGGTCTTTACTGGAGATCTACAGAGTTCTCTTCCTCTCCCTTTGCATGTGGTGGACTGTGGGTCTCTACTTTGGGATCTTTTAAAAACTATTTGGCTGTCATTCCTAGCCACCCTTGACCAGCAGAGTTCTCTGAAGCATATTATGCAGGGGAAACCTGCAGCCTGCTCCCTCCTGCCCCCCTTCTGCCCTCCTGCTTTACCTTCTGCTCTGGCTCTGGTCCCTTCAGCTCATCTGGGAGCTGCTGCCACTTCTCTTGGACTGGGCTGAGGCCTGGCCAGGGCCACTACTGCTGCTGACTTCCCCAGAGGAGCAGAGCTGCAG